GTGTATGTGCTACCGCCAGCGCGCGCCGTTACTGGACGGCGCATGGACACTCACAGAAAAGTGCCGCGAGAATAAAAAAAAAGAAAAGAAAGAAAGTCAGATTAAATATTCCTTCCGCAACAATTTTAAGACCTTTGAGTAATGAATTTAAGACCAATGTAAGACATTTCTAATGAATTTAAGACATTTTCAGGCCTTACTTTTAGATACATGAATTTAAGACTTTTTTAGACTTTTCAAGGATCCGCGGGTACCCTGTGTCTGTCATTTATATCTTGCATATTTTGTGACTTACCGGTTTTGCTCTCCTCCATGTGCTCTCATGGCACGGTTGCATCCCCTGTCCCTGGCACCAATCAGCCATTTTGGCACTGCTTTTTCCGCATCTTTCCTCTTTGGTGAGGGAATTTTTTTTCAAACTCCCTGTAAGTGACATCCAGAAAGAGCATAAGAGTGAGGCTCGTTATTGTCTAATTCGAGGCACTTTGTCAAGGTGAGCTTATCAGGTGATGGATCAGAAATGAAGATCAAGCTACTCAAAGCGGTCTTTGCTATTTTATCATTAAAAGTCAAAGCGGCACAAGATTATATTTAGGAAGGAGTGTCAAGTGTTCCCAATGCAGTTGCTTTATGACACTGATGATCAATGAACAGTGTGCTCAAAACAACTGATGTTGTGTTGAGAATAAATAAATAGCATTAGAAATGTTCCGTGCACATATTCACTTCTCAGTAATTAATTAAATGATCTAAGCCACAACGGTGTCAGTTTGTTATTAACTTGGATTTTTAGATATAGACAGAAGACGGGGGAAACAATATAGGAAATGAAATGATGTTTATGGAATGTTTATTTGGAGTTGGGTAAGTTTATGATGTTTTTTATGCTTCAGACTCTGCCATGTTGGACAGCCAGCGCAGTTGTTTCTGCCGTTGCCATGACAACGCGCGTCCATGAACCGGTCACCTGTTAACCTGAAACACCGGTCAGTCACGGCTTTTCACATGTCCGAAAATGTCGCAGCAGATTTACAAACAGGCGTTCTTTGGATAAGCTAACCACATATGGGGAATCTACATGGTTGCTTTCTCGCCTGAAAAAATGTTAAATCTTAATAATTTGACTCAACAGTCCCACTGTGAAAACTGCAGCTGCTTGTGACTCTGCTAGTCTCCACTCTGTTCTCCTACAGAAAAACACTGTTTTTTCATTTCCGGTTTTCCGTTTTGGTTTCAAGATGGAAAAACGGACCCATTTGCTTATTTTTCTGATTTTGTTTTGAAACGGAATAATGAAAGATCGAACCATACAGAGTTGCTCACTAAAGCCCAGCATACACTGTACGATTTTTGACCGGATTTGACCCGATTTTTGAGACGCATCTTTTGCCATGCAGTGTAAGGGGGGGGCGAGGGCCGATCATCTGTTCCAGAACCATGGTCGGACGGTCGGATGATTCGCACAGTTGAAGCAGAGCCACGAGGCAATTCGCCAACGTCTCTATTTATCCATCACTGCGCCTGCGCGAAGACATAGATCACCATGGTGACGCGTCAGTGGACTGAAAATATGGAGGCCAGGTTGGTTGAGCTGTGGCAACAGTATGAGTGCCTCTTTGACGTTTCTTCTTCCACCTACCACGACCGCTATCAACGGGAGAAACGCTGGCAGGAGATAGCAAATATTCTTCAGCTGCCTGGTAAGTTTTTTCTGCTTTCATATTCAAGCAAGCGCAACAAACATAGGCTACAAGCTAGCGCGCTAGATGAGTTAACGTTACAACGGCAGTTACAACGGTTACAGTTACACACACACACACACACAGAGGGTGCACCCTCTGTGTGTGAGGGGGTGCACCCTCTGTGTGTGTGGGGTCCATGCCATTGGTCCGACAGCCCATTAGTCCGACGTCCTGTTGTTCCAATATGTGATTATTACTGTGTTTGTGTACCATAGAGGATCAGCAACGCAACAAAAGTAGGCTACTGGTCGAGATACAAGTGCCATAGAGAGGAGAGAATGAAACACCATAACCTCCTGTTATTAACTCTGGGGTCCGGGTTGTGTGGGGAGCTCTCCATGGTGCTGAACGGCCCCCGGCGGGCGTATTTCTGCCTTGATGGTGCGCTGGGACCGGCTCTGGGTCAGCTGGGAAAGGCTTGAGGCGAAGCAGGCTCACGGCTTATGTGTTTGCCACTTTCTTTTTCATTTTAACCCACACCATGATCTTTTCCTAACCCTAACCAAGTGGGTTTTGTGCCTAAACCTAACCAGACCTTAACCACAGGGCATCATGATGATTTCGGAACAACGGGACTTCGGAACAATGGGTTTAATATGGTCGGAACAATGGGCTGTCGGAACAATGGGCAGTTCCCGTGTGTGTGTGTGTGTGTGTGTGTGTGTGAGAGAGAGAGAGGGAGAGAGAGAGATAGACAGAAAAAGAGAGAAAAAGAAAGAAAAAGAGAGAGAGAGAGAGAGAGAAAAAGAGATAACGTTAAAGAAAAAAAGAGAAAAATAAAGACAGAGAGAGAGAAAGAGAGAGAAAAGGAGAAAGAGAGGGAAGAGAAGAGAGAGAATCAAAACTTGGACTGACCTGTTTTTGTGCATATAGGCTATATGAGAAGGACATATGAAACAGACTACTGCAGATCAATTAGGCTACAAAAGAAAAAAAATGTTCATTGTACTTTTGATTTGTCTGGCCAGGGTCCTAATGTGTTCCCATCTTTATGCAGTCAATGAAGTGAAAACCAGAGCTGCATCTCTCAGGACCCAGTATGGTAAACTTGTGAAGCCAAAAGCAAGTGGCAGTGGACAGAAGCCACTAACACCAAAACAAAGATGGATCCTGGCACACTTGGAGTTTTTAAAGCCCCATATGACGCACCGAGCAACGGAATCGACCTTGAGAGTAAGTGTTTTCGAGCATGTGCAATCCGAAAAGGCACAGTTCAGCAAAAAATTAACATTCTGTCATGATCTATTCACACTCATGGATTGAAGGATGGGTTAAGTTTTTTAGTTCACAAAACACTGCTGGTGTTTCAGAGGAAAGGGGTTTGCAGTTATTGCCCTAACAATTGAAGCAAATGGTGACCAGAATTCAGATTTAATTAAAATACATAATACAACCATTTAATTCCTCCACAAAGCTCATAACAAAGTATTCCAGGTGTCCTAAAGCCCTGACATGCACTGCTGTATTAATAGCATCACTGAAGCCATGTTTTTAGCCTTACTTGTATGCCATGTTTGATCATATGTGAACATGGCTCCCATATAAAAAGCCACCGGCTACAGTACACATTAAGGTTAAAAACATAGTGTTTCTGACATTTGCCAAAACAGGACACTTGGATAATTACTTTGTATGAGTTATGTGGGGGCACGGTTTTATTATACATTTTATTTTGGTTTGAACCAATGTCACCATTTCATTCAAATGTTTGGGGGATAACTGCAAACTGTTTTCCTCTGAAACACCAACAGTGTATTGTGAGCTAAAAAACTTCCCCCATCTTTCCACTTCCATGAGTGTGAGTAGATGACTGAATTTTAATTTTTGGGTTACCTGTCTGTCACTTTCAGTTGTGCTGAAAAGATTTTGATCTCAACAAAAAGGTCTAGTTGGCATCCCTATTGTTATCTTATTTTTTTCTGCATGTCTTTACCTGTGTTGTTTACTACAGCTTGACGTCGAGGACTCTGAGGACATTGATGAGAAAGAGGAGGGGCAAATGGAAGATGAAGATGTGGTGCTTGACATGTCAACTGACAACAATGAAATGTCCCAGATGCTCTCCCCTCCATCAACCTCTGCTCAGTCCTCTAGAAGTTCAGTCTCTGCCACTGTAGAGGGGGAAACATCTTCGACTGAATTAGCATCACGTCATGATGAGACCCCCAAAAGACCACGCTTTAGCAAAGCAAAGGGAAAGTCCTCTGATGCTAACAATATTGAATTAACTTTGGCAAGTTAACTTTGTTAAAACAGATTCATAATACTCTGTCTTCTACAACTAATGACAGTGAGGAGGTATTTGGTCAACAAGTTGCAAATGAGCTAAGAAACATTAAAGATCGAGTGCTTCAGTTAAGAGTTAGGAGAAATATTATGAACATACTGTATGATGCCCTAGAGGCAGAGCAGGCCCGGGAACACGTAACCCTCAGTCAGTACCAACCAGGGGGAGTACCATTTATGGGGTCCCAGTCAACTCAGGGAAGGTATGACCATTACACAGCTGTGCCAATGCAAGTGCCACATCCACCATATCAGAGCCAGCACAGTCTCCAGCTCCAGAGCCAACCAGCCCAACAGAACCAGTCTCAAAGCCTCCAGCCTCAACCAATGTCCTTCATGATAAATGAAGACGAATAGTTGAAAATTGGCAGTGGTTGATCAGGATGCAAGTTAACTTTTGCACTTTTTTTTTGCACTACTGTTCTCTTCTAAGTGCCTTGAAAAGAGATTTGTTTATGTTTATTACAGAGGGATTTCTTGCTCTTCCCACTGGTGCAGGCTGTAGTATGCCCTCTCTCCTCCATGCACCTTCAATCAGCTGATGGTTGGCATCTTCTGAATCCACATAGGCAGGTGGCAAGTAGGCATCAGATCTTCTGTCACGTAAGAAGTTATGCAGGCACAGACATGCAAAGATGATGTTCATGACCTTGTCTGGATCCAGGGAAATAGTTGTTCTGAAAACTCTGAAGTGACTGGCTAATATTCCAAAGGCATTTTCCACTACTCGTCGAGCCCGAGACAGACGGTAATTGAAGAGCCTCTGACTCCTGTTCAGGTTTTGGAAGGGGTAAGGTTTCATGAGGTCTGCTCTGAGTAGATAGGCCTCATCTCCAATGAACATGTAGGGCATCAATATATCAGTGTTGGGCAGTGTGTCATCAGGGGGGACATGAAGTAGGCCTTTGTCCATTGCGGCTCTCAAGTCTGATTGTGCAAACACGCCAGCGTCTGACACTCTGCCCTGGGTTCCTGCACTTGCATAAACAAACTTATAATTTGCATCAACTACAGCCATGAGTATGATGGAAAACCGGGACTTGTAGTTGTAATACATGCTTCCACTGTTGGCAGAAGGTTGAATGAAAATGTGTTTCCCGTCCACTGCACCCAGGCAGTGTGGAAACTGCCACTTGTCATGGAAGTCTTTGGCAATGGCTTTCCACTCTGGCTCAGTTCCTGGTGTCTGTGAACCAAAAGTGAGATAAAGAAATGTTAACAATGACTTATATATGCACAAAAACAAAACAAATTCAGACAATCATATAATATTGAGTAGGATGTCATTGATAGCATGGTTAGTTGACATTTCACACCATACCATCACACCCTTCAGTAAAGTTAAAAAAGGTGTGATTAAAAATATTCAATAGTGAAAGCATAATTCTTGTGTATTGTGTTTAAAGAAATCATCACAGATCATGTGACGTACAGTTAGGGCTGTAAGTGTTTCTGACTGTGTTACCTTCAGGAAATCCTCGCGTAGCACAGAAGTTAGGGCTGTACAGGTCTCCATAACAATCCTGCTCAGAGTTGTGCTTCCAATCCGATATTGGAAACTCAGTGAGTTGAATGTTTCACCTGGCAAAGTGAATACAGATTCTTAAATGACAATTCAGGCAAAGTGGAATAAAAGTGAGCAGAGACATACACTGTATATGGGAAATTAATTTGTTTACATTAAATGACACATGAAAATGACATTATTCTAATACAGAATTTTGTTATTCTTCATCAATCAAAATGTTACTGATTTGTTGGTGTTGGTTGCTTTCTTCTTGGACTTAACGGTGCTGTATATAAGAATGTGGCCAAATGTACTTGGGACACTGCTAATGCTGCTTGCCGTGCTGCTGTAGCTCAGTCGTAACTGTAACTGATGCTGAGTCTCTACTGACTGTGTGACTGGTAGACTGCGGTGGGTGGCACAACAGGCCAAAACACAAATTCAAAACATAAACATGATTTGCAGACTGCAAAAAATTTTTTAGATGCTAATATTCTGGCTGTACTATTGTTGTCTGTGAGATCAGTATGTTATATGAACATTATTCATTAGTCTCTGTGACATATTAGAAGGATTTTAGGACTATTTGCTTTAAATTTCTTACATATAGCTCCTTTTATGATACGTGAAAAAAGGTAGCATCATGTTTCTCTTAGTTTCTCCAGTAATTCATTTAATTCCATCTTTTCAGAAAAAAAAGTCCACTCATTGGGTTTCCACCACAAAATCTTATTACTGTCTTATTGCATGAAAACTGCATATTTATTGCTGATGGCATCATAAAAACAAGAGAATTATAGATGTCACATACTACATCAATTATTTCTATGATTTGTACACCCTATATTATTGTACATTGTCCAGCCATACTATCAAGATTTGTGTGTACTGTAGACTGACCTGTAGCCAGGAACCGTAATGTCACAGAGAGCCTGTCCTTTGGGCTAATGGCCTTTGTTAGATGGGCGTCCTGCTTCTGGATGATAGGTGTTACTCTGTCCAGAAGGTGACTGAAGTCCTCCACAGACATTCTTAGAAGGTCGCGAAATCCCTTCATATCGTCCACCTACATACATACATACAGACGTACATAAATACATAAAAGTAGACAGGGTTCAAAATTAAAACATAATTTCAGAAGCTTGGTGACATGATTAAGCTGACAAGATCAATTTTGCTTTGAGTGTAAGGTACTGTTGTGATGTTAAGGCATGTTTGGCGGTAACACATGTCAGTGTGTTTTTGTTTATTGCTGATAATATCATAAAGCAAAGTTATAATGTTTATTGTTGTGCGCACATACAGTATGGAGTTGTAAGTCAGCAACATTTAGGCCCACCAGCCAAATGCTAGTAAAATATGCAAGTGACAGGTATATTTCATTTCATTTCATTTATTTATTTGTAACGAGCATGGCAATATTCAATATCATTCAAACAAAAAACAACTATCAACTAAAACATATTCCTTGACCGAAAAAGAGCAGGAAGAAGAAAATCTTATTTTACCTGCCCCTCACTCAAAACAAAATAAACAATAGAAACAGATGGTCTACCCGATTACAGTTACTCTATAGTCAATATAACATTAACAGGAAAGGAAAACAGAAATAAATTCTGTCTCAACACTCGTACACAATATAGAAACCTAACTATCAAGTTCATACAATGCAACTTTTCTTTCTTTAAACATTTTTTAAAACTGAAATATGTTCAAACAGCCCTTTAAGTCACTCTGTAAGGAATTCCACAGCTTAATGCCAGCTACAGAAATACACATCTGCTTTAAAGTTGTTCGTGCAAACTGGTGCTTAAATCTATTGCGTGTGGCTGGTAAAATTTTAACATTTACTGGCCACTAGCTGGTGGACAGAAAGTTAATTATGTCCCCTGATTAAAACAAATGTTTGTGATATGAAATCAAAACGTAGTTAGTAAGATTTGGGGCTAATAGCTACCGCACAACAGGGAACGTTAGCGTACGGTTGTTATCAGTAAAGTAACGGCCGGCTTACCTCCAACTCTCGTTGTAAAATTGACAAACCATACTGTCCACGTCCCTCAAGCCATCTACGAGTCCATATGCGTCGACGCCTCTTCTTTTTGGACGTTTCGGCACACAGCATAGCGCAAATCATTAAAGCAAACCGCTTGTCCTGCTTCATTGGCAACATCGCTTCCGGAACAAATCGGAGCATTCAAATGTATCTTTATTGACAGCTGTCAATGGACAGAATAGTCAGCAGGTACCGACGAGCCGTTTTCACCCGTACAGTGTGAGCTCTCTGATCGTGCTTGATGATCGGAACGTACAGTGTGAGCACATAAATTGTGAGCTTTGGCCGCACATTGCAGACGATTCACTCGTACAGTGTGAGCTGGTATTAACAACAAGATTTTAAAAATTGTACAGTGTATGCTGGGCTTAACTGTCACGAAGTTAACGTTCGGCGTTATGACGGCATATCTACGTTGCTAACGCATGCGTGGCACTGTGTTATAGTATGTGTTGTTCTATGTCTATGTACATACATGCATAAGAAATCATACTCACTGTGCCATAAAATGCATTACGAATCGTCATGACGTTAGCCAACATGCGAGCCTCCTAGCGGAAACGGAAACACCGTTCGTGGGTAAAAAAAAAAAGTTTAGCCAATCACAGACCCCGCTGGTAGACGTTGGGATTATGGGTAATGTAGTACTTCTTCGTGACTACGTAAAAATTAATTGTTGTCAAACCTATATTTGGAAAAAAAAAACCTCTAGATACGAGCGTCGATCGTCTGACAGTTGTTCTAACATAATTAACGTTGGTGAGTCTACATTGGCAAGTTAGGACATTACATGTTAAACTCATTTGAGTCATAGCATGCTAGCTAACGGACGTTTAGCCACCTAGCCAAGAACGTAGCTAAAGGGAAAAAAGTAGTTGAACAAACTTTTAGGTTTACACAGTGCTTTTCAGTTCTATCAGTTCTATAGTGTTGTTTGTTAGTCAGGACTTACCTTCGACACTGTTTGGCCCAACTCAAAACTCCTCTTCAACCGTTGAAATATTTTAGGTGCTGATCCTGAGAGGCAACTCCAGAATGAATGACTCATCTTCGGTTATCTTGAGATTACTTTCTCTCATTTCCATGACAACCCCCGCCACACACATGCACACACTCTTTTTATAAAAAAAAATGCACTGGCTATTTTAAAGAGCAGATAGGCTATCTACGGCTATGGTTGAGTTTATTCAGGTTTTTCTTTTTTCTTTTTTTTTTTTACCTCACATTATAGTGTCTTAAATACCAAAACATTTTGATGACACCTTAAGTGTCAATAATACAGCAGTATATAACAATATTATTTTACCTAAAACAATTAAATTTACTGAAACGGGTGTGTTTGTGGACCCAAATGCAGTACCAGGCTCGCAGGAACAGTTGGTAATGACTTTTATTAGCACCACAGCAAACAGGGAATGCAGCAGGCAGAATAAACACAGAATAAAGTTCGTTCTTCAGGCAAGTTGCCCTCACACAGTCTCTGAGGCTCAGATGAGGGAAAGAGATCAAGCTTACGGCAGCCAAAGGTGGCGAGGCAGACGCACCGTAGGCTGAAGTGCCGGCTGATCGTGCTGAGAAGCCGACGAGGAGTGAGCTGAGGCGAGGTCGGGAGCCGGTGGGGGGGTCGTAGCTAGAAGAGCCGTCAGCGAAGGCAGAAGCACCGTTGAGGAGCAGGCAGGAGGGTAGACGAGGCCGGGCGGAGGAGTCGAGACCAGACGAGCAGGCAGAAACCAGAGACGCTGAAGCAAAGCACGAGGTCGGGGACAGAAGGCAGGTGAGTTTACCGGGAGGCAGACGAGGGGAGCAGGTCGGGGACAGGCAGAGTTGGCACCGGGAGATCAGGCAGGAGAAGAACGCTGGAGAGTCTCGCATAATGCTAAAGAACAATCTGGCAGTGAGTGAAGGTGCTGGAGAGGCTTATATGCAGGGCTGGTTGATGAGCTGCAGCTGTGTAGGCAGGTGAGCAGAGTTGGGCTGATGAGGTGGGCGCGGCTGGCAGGTAGAGTGAAGCAGAGGGAGGGGGAGTGGAAAAACACTGCAGCAGAGTGGCAGGAGAG